CGCGCCTCTGCACTTCCTACCAGTCTCAATGCGCTTTCTTCTTTACCTCTCTGGTTGTAGTACTTCCACTCAGCCAGCTTTCCCGTAGTTCTGGATGATAGTTGTTCTGTCTTTTAGTTGTAATTTTGATGTGGTTGTGAAAGGCAGAAAGTACAGGTGTTTACCTATGCCACCATCTTGGTTCTCTTTACTTCACTTTTAAAATAAAAATTTTTCTTTGCCCTGGCTGATGTGGCTCAGTTGGTTGGGTGTTGTCCTGTGCACCCAAAGGTTGCCAGCTCAATTCCTGGTAGGGGCCATGAAGGAGGCAGCTGCTCAATGTCTCCATCAATGTTTTTCTCTCTCTCCCTTCCTCTCTCCAAAAACCAATAAAAATATATTTTTTTAAATAAAAAAATTATTTTTTAATTAGAGTCAACATACATTATATTAGCTTCAGGAGGACCATAGTTATTAATCATCTATGAAACTTATGAAGTGATCACCCTGATATGTCTAGTACCCATCTGATACCAGTTATTATATTATTGACTATATTCCCTATTCTGTACTATACATCCCCATGACAATTTTGTAACTGCCAATTTGTATTTTTTAATCCTCCAAATATGTAATGCTTGATGAATTTGTATGTCATCCTTGCCCAAAGGCCATGCTAATCTCTGTAGCATTCCATTTTAGTATGTGTGCTGCTGAAGGAAGCAACAGATTTCCTTCTTTTTTTTCGGTGTTAAAAATTTTTTTAAAATTTTTTATTGATATGAGAGGAAGGAAGACACAGATTTGTTGTTTCACTTACTTATGCATTAATTGGTTGATTCTTGCATGTACCCTGAACAGAGACCAAACCCACAACCTTGGTGCATAAAAAATTAACACCTATTCTGGCGGGGGGGGGGGGGGGGGGGGGGGGAACGGGGGGACGGACTCAGGGAGCAACTGAGCAACCCCAGCCAGTGTAACAGCTTTACTTCTCCCTTTCCAATTTGCATGCCTTTTATTTCATTTTCTTGTCCAATTGATGTGGCTAGGAGTTCCAGTATTATGTTGAATAAAAGTGGTGCAAATGTTATATTGTTCCTAGTTTGAAAGAAAACACTTTTAACTTTTCCCCATTGGCTATGAAGTTAGCTGTGGGTTTGTCATATATGGACTTGATTGTGTTGAGGTACATTCCCTCTATTCCAACTTGGCTGAGACTTTTTATCATAAAAGGCTGCTGAATTTTGTCAAATGACCTTTTTATTTATTGATTTTAGAGAGAGAGGAAGGAAGAGACAGAAAGAGAAATATTGATTTGTTGTTGCACTTATTTATGCATTCATTGGTTGTTTTTGCACGTGCCCTAACGGAGATTGAACCCGCAACCTTGGCATATTGGGATGGTACTAGTCAATGGAGCTACCTAGCCAAGGCTCATTTGCGTTTCCTGCATGTGTTAATATGATGATATGAGGTTGTATCATGTTTACTGATTTGAAGATATTGAACCAACTTTGCATCCTAGCAATAAATCCCACTTGGTCATTAAAAAATCTTTTGAATGTATTGCTGAATTCAGTTTGCTAAAAATTTGTTGAGGATTTTTGCACCTATGTTCGTCACAGATAATGGTCTATACATATCCTTTTTGTAATGTCTTCATCAGGGTTGAAATGATGGTACTCACATCCTCATAAAATGAGCTTGGGATAATAGGTGTTAATTTTTTGAATGTTTGATAAAACTCACTTGTGAGCCATCTGGTTAGAGCTTGAATTTGTTGAGAGTTTTTTGATTACTGATTTG